GACTATATAATTGGGACAAGAAAATAAGAAAAGTCACTAATATAAATGGGACGAAGAGAGTATTACTTATTAACTTTTTTTTTTCTTTCAGTAATTAATTGTACATTTTTCTGCAGATTTTTTCCAAGCAAATACAATAGAGACATAAAATCTCTAAACGAGGAAGTGGAAAGATTACTAATGGAGATCATAAAAAGTCGAAAATATTGCATAGAAATCGGTCGAGTGAGTTCATATGGAAATGATTTACTTGGGATGTTGCTAAATGAAATGCAAAAAAGGAAATCAAGCACTGGATTTAGCATAAACCTACAATTAATCATGGATGAATGCAAAACATTCTTTTTTGCTGGACATGAAACTACAGCTTTATTACTCACTTGGACAGTTATGCTACTTGCTAGCAATACTTCTTGGCAAGAAAAAGTTCGTGCTGAGGTGAACCAGGTCAGCAATGATGGTTCACCCTCTGTTGATCACCTCTTAAAGCTCCCTTTGGTAAGATTTTTACCTCTACATTTTTTTTCCTTTTTTATTTTTTAACTTATGGGTTCGGTACGATGTAACTACGTGTGGGATGACGACATATAATGACCTATGTATCATGTTTGGTAGTTGAAGTAGAAAAAGGGACATGGTATCCCTTTTTCGTGCGCCTTAAGATAGTACTTTTCTAAAGCAACAAAGTGAAATTTTATTTGTTGTATTGTTCAGCCGAGTCCATTTTAACTCTTTCCTTTTTCCATTTTAGTCTCATCCACTTTTGTTTAACCTGAACAAAACAAATAAACTTTATATATTTTTTACTGCTTGAAATATGCTTATAAGAAATCACAGGATGTCAATCACTATATTTAAAATCAGGAGGGGTTTCAACAAATTTGTTCACTGAATGCTAGAGTGATTTTGCCTAAGCTGTTGTGCAGCTATTGAGATGTTGACAATAATATTTTACATTTAAGTTGAATGAGTACAATGTTATTATAGTCGATTAATGATCAAAGTACGATAAAAGTTTAAAATTTGTGCCCCCGATGAATGAGTGATGTTCATGAAAGAGGCCGTGTTTCACCATACGACAGTTATAAGTTGTTTGATCCTCGTACAGTTAAACCAAAACAACTAAAATATATATATATATTTTTTGCATTTTTGCAGTTGAACATGGTGATAAATGAATCACTCCGTCTATATCCACCAGCAACCGTTATGCCTCGAATGGCATTTGACGACATCAAACTCGGGGATCTTCACATCCCGAAGGGACTTTCAATTTGGATTCCAGTTCTTGCCATACATCACAGTGAAGAAATATGGGGCAAAGATGTAAATGAATTCAACCCTGATCGTTTTGCATCAAAGTCATTTGCCCCTGGACGCCATTTCATCCCATTTGCTACTGGTCCAAGAAATTGTATAGGCCAATCCTTTGCCCTAATGGAAGCCAAGATTATATTAGCCATGTTAATATCAAAATTCTCCTTTACTATTTCAGATAATTACCACCATGCCCCCGTTAGTGTTCTTACGATAAAACCCAAGTATGGAGTTCAAATATGCTTGAATCCCTTGAATCCATAAACAATTTGGGTTTGAGATCAAATTTTGTTAATTTTCTTGGTTTTTGATACATGAGATTAAGATTTCAAGAGACATGTACTTTTTTCTGTTGCAGAGATACTACTCCATAATAAAATTGTTAAGAGTATTTTGATATTTTTTTCTCCTTTTCCTTTTGGGATTATTGTTCTTTCATTGTTTTTTACCGGAGATGTAAGACGTTAACTACATTCTGAAAGCTCACAATATTTACATAATCTTATTCTATTTTCTCTACTTACTAGTGATCCAATGAAACTATTTGTTTCAACAAGAGAAATACTGAGTAAAATCCATTCAGTACTCAAAAATTGGTAATTCTAAAGATAGCTGCGACGCTACTCTTGTATTGAGTACTCAAAACATACTTATCGATGGTGGCAATTAAGATGGTTGTGGTTAGTGGCGCTTGTTGAAGGCGGATGGTTGGTATAATATATTTGAAATATTTGAATAAAAAGGAGTATGTGATGAAATTTTCACGATAAACCACGGTTGGGAAAATTCTCCAAAGCAAAATCGACACAAATAGCACTACTATGTGGACAATGTCAATTTATTATTTTGTGTAATTTTTTTTATAACACCTCCTTTTGGATATTTTAGCATTGGTTCAAGAAGAAAAGAAATCATATCCCACGCCATCCCTTATCCAACAAGGGGTTTTCGGGCTCATACATTTAAATCAAAAAGTATAATAAAGAAGATAACATTTGGCCATTCCTTCAAAATTATTCTTGAAACAGAAAAACGAAGTAGCATAATTTCTTGAAAATAAGGTAAAAATCATTATAAAGAAGTAACTTTATTTGCTTAAAGATAATAAGATTGAGCGAGTTCCATAAGCAGAGCCCACGAGCTTTGAGTTGTGGGAGAAAATGAAGTGATAATATAAATTAAAATTTGAAATTAAAAAAAAA